TAGATTCGGTAACTACCTTTGTTCCCAACCTGCTGCATGATCTTAGACAATTCGTTTCAACTTCCCTTGCCTCTGTCCCCCATCTGTAAAATGAGGATAATGCTTCTCCCCTCCTTTCATTGTGTCGTCTATTGGGACGTTAAGCTCTTCACAGCAGCGACTGTCATTGTGTATAGCATAATGGAGCCCCCGTCTCGCTTGGGACCTTTGCATTAGAGGAGTGCTCATACACATAATAAATAACAGCAGTAATCAACAGAAAGTTGTCATGTCTTGGATAATCATCAGAAAGTGGTCATGTCTTGGATTCCACAGTAATTTACTATTGTAGATGTGCAAAAACATACTGTTGATTAATTTTTTTAAGGGCAACCCTTACAGGAGTTTTATTGATCGTGTCTGTGTGCTGCATTTGTGCAGGTTAGGCTAAACTCCCAAATTCCTATTTCACCATGCCCTGGGCTTAGCATCCAGTGTCATAGATGTGTATAAAGCTATCCCCAGGTGGAGTGTCTGAGCTTAGTCTTGCTGTTGTCCTGGTCAGAAATTTGGAGGGGAGAGTCTAGCTCCATCCTCGCCTGCCTCCAAGGATGCTGTAGCTGCTCCTGTCCTGTCGACTGTGCCTTTCTGTGTTTCCTGTACAGTAGATGTTCCAGATTAGACTCTGTGCATTTTAAGAGTGACAGAACTTGGGTGGCCATCCTTTGCATTGTATTTTGCACTGGTTTTATTGGTGCATCCGAACATTGCTTCATGAGATTTTTTCAGGTTGAAATACTGTTCTGCTCAACATGAATGTATCATCTAGGGCTGGCTGAATGCCAGAGGTGCTTTGCAGACATCTCTGTGGAGATCTGTCAATCACTTGCTCTGCAGTATGCTCCCTTCAGTTCTGGATACCTCTTAAGCAGAGATTGCTAATTATCCCACATCTTTTACCAGGTGGACCGAAGCCCATTAGGTTCTAAGTTCAGCCTATCAAACTCATATTTGGAGACTGCTAATGATCCAACATCTTTTATGATGTGGACAGATATCTGTTATATTCAAAGCTCAGCCCTTCAAACAGCTTTCATTTGCAATATGATGCAAGCCAGATTTCAGTCCAGCCTCAAGAGGAAGATGCTAACATCTCGATATCATCTGAGCTCTTATCTGTCTGTGTAACTAGTCTTCTGAAAGTAATTTTAAACTACTAATTGTCTTTGCACAGAATTAAAAAGAATGCTTAAAATTAGTCTCACATTTTAATTGTTTAAACTCGTACTAATCTGGATAAGTGTAATATTTTAAAAGCGCAGATCCCCATAAGTTATGATAACTGTTTGGCATTTTCAAACAGATTTGAAGTAGGCAAACATCAGGAGTCCCACATCACATAATAAATGCCTGTGCTCCTGCAGCTGGATCTCTGAGAGCAGATCCACCACAGTATTGGAGCCTCACATGCCACAGCAATGATCCCAGTCTGGAATGTCGTAATTACAAAATTAAAATCAGAGCCTTAAATCCAAATTTAGGGGCCTAGGAGTGGGATTTTTCAAATGCACCGTAGTGACTAGGACAAAAGTCTCATTGAGCTGAAGCTGATTTCATTGGGATGCATAGTTCTTGGTCACTTCGATGCAGGTCATCTCAAGGGACTTCTGCTTCTAGGTGATTTTGGTGCTTTTGAAAATCCTGCCCTTTGTTATGAAAATATCGACTGCTATGTACAGACATAAAATCAAATATTAAAATAGGTTAAGAGCATGTAGAATAATAGTCAGTAAGGACAGGTCAAATCTTCTAGCACATATTGTTAGAAACACAGGCACCTCTGTGCCTGTCTTGTTGGTCTCCATTATTATGACTCAGTTTATGTCTTCAGAATGAATTATTCTGCTTTCCTTGTTACTTCACATTTATATGAATTAAATATATATATTTGTAGGGCACCACAAGTACAGGAACTTAGGAATCTTAAGTTGCATTGACTTTCAAAGAGGCATCGAGGGGCCAGATTTTTAAAGCTACTTAGGCCCCTAAAGATGCCAAAGGGCACTTAGATCAGTTGTTCTCAACCTGTTTAGACTGAAAGCACTCCTTGTTTGACTCATGGCACTCCTAAGAAAATGCCAGCTCTTCATTCTCACTCATTTTTTGACTACAGAAAAATATTAGAGCAATTCTTCTGTAGTAACAAACTCATAAAGACCACAACAGGTCAGAATGGATTTAAAATTATGGATTCCTATTTGAAATCTCTAGGTTAATCTTGTGAATCGTGTTTGCATGCCTAACTGTGCTAACATTGCATGGCATCCTGCGGCACATTTGAAAGGATATCAAGATGCCCCGGGTTGCTGTGGCATCCCTGGTTGAGAATCGCTGACCCATAAGCACTTTTGAAAATCGTATTAAGTGCCTATTTCCCTGAAAATAGCACAAGGTGGTCATCTAAGCACCTAATGATGCAAAGAGTTCTAAAAATCTGTTCCCGAGTGCTGAAATCTGTAAGGAAGTCAGGACCTTAAATCACTTAGGGTACGTGCAGATGTTACTCTTAGATTGACCTAACTAGGGTTAGGTCTACTGAAATGCCAAACTGTACATATGTTTGGGGAGGTTAGACTGGGCAAAAAATGGCATGGCAATCTAACTTAGGAGGTGCACTAAGTTAGAGCGGGCATGGGGTAGCCTGATCTGCCCAATGTGTACATGTCTAGAGAGCAGCCCTGGGGCTGGGAAAGCCTAGCTACTCACCCCAGCCCTGGAGCTGTGCTTTTCCAACCCCCACCCCCACTGGGCTATTTTTACTCTCCCCCTTGGAGACCCACAAGCCCCCCACAACCCAACCAACCTTTCCTATGGACTCACTAGCCCTCCCCAATCCCTTCTGCTCTTCCCCCCACCCCAACTGACTTAGATCACATTCCCAGCGCAGCTCCCAGAACTGGCAAATGTTGGTACAAATGGGACCCAATCTATGATTGCATGGCTTAAAGTAAGATCAGATAATAAAGTCAGATCACAGATCGAGCACCAGGAATATCTGCACATGTCCTTAGATGCTTTTCAAAGGTTTGTTCATCGCTTAATTGTATGAGCACAGGATTATGAGCTGCTCCAAGCCCACCCAAATGGTGTGAGACTTAACTGGATAAGGGCCACAATACTTCAGAAGGAGAGGGTTTGGGACTGTGACTAAAGTTAAGCCCAGCTCTTCACTCAGCAGTCTTAAAAACCAGGCTCCATATTTTCTACAATGTCAAATAATACTGCTATGCAACATAATGAGGAGTATGCTCCTAGGAGATCAACTGTGAAGGAAGCAGAGTCATTTCATTGGTATAACAAGAGGATTCTAAATAATTCAGATTTGTAGGAGCCCTCAAAATGGACCAAGTCCTTTCAAATTATGAAGGAGAATACAGATCCTTCCATGAAGAGTGTGCAAGCTGAAGCCCAGCAATTAGCAAACCTAGTGCTAATTTAACACCCTACTAGCAAAATCCAGAAATAGCATTTACCTGTTATAGTCCCATATTCATTTTGTTAAAATAATTAATTGAAATGGAAGTATCCAAAATCCCCATTAATCTCTCTGAACAACAAAAGCTTTTTATTATACAACAAAATTAAGGGATTGATGCTTATACCTGCCTGTTAACAAATTCCCAGCAGAAAATCTCCCTCGGAGCCCGCCACCCCACAGGCTTCACGTAGACCTTGCCTGCTCAAATATATCAGCACCATTTTATGGGAGTGGATTTGGATTGTAATGCCATGGCAAGCAAAAAGAGAGCTTCGAAAGGGATTTTGATGACAGAGGTTTAATGTGGAAGTCCAGCCAAAAGAAGCAAGAAGGGCTTCCATCCATTGAGATGGCGCAGGGCATGCCTCTCTGATGAGATGAATAAATCCCAGGAAGGACATGGGGGGTTGGTTTGGAGGTGGAAAAAGGGTGAATTATTTGTTTAGGGGTTTTTTTATGTGTGCACTTCTTGTGGGCATCCCTGGATTTAGTGAGGCTTTCAGAAGAACAGGAATGAGGACTAGGTAACGGCTCAGCAGTCTGCAGCTCAAAGGGCACTCTGTTCCAGCTCCATGCAATGGAAGGAGGCAGGGAGATATTTAGGAGGGGAAGGACAGAGGCAGAGCAAGGCTGATGAACTAAAGTTGAAGATGTTTAGTTGCGAAAGGATGAGAATTTTGCAGGGCCTTGAAGAAGAGGACAACACTTGTAAATATGGTGGCGTGGACAACCGTGGAGACCAATGTAGCTATGCAAAGTGGCCTGGGCTCCAATTCAAAAATGGGAAGTAATTTTAGTAACCACCTCCTGCATGGGCCCTAGATCAATTAGGTGGTTTTTAAGGTGTTAAGAGAGGAAAAATTGTGTCTTTGATATGTATTGGAGGAAAAAACATCAGTTGTTAGACATAGCTTTTGGGGTGCAGGGCAAGAGAGAGGAATATGCCTGTAAATCAGGAACAGTAGTCCCGTGCCCTGCATAACCACCATACCCCACCTCTGGGTAAGGGAGAGTAGAGATACCATACGTCAACCCCCAAAGAGCTCACTCAGGCTCTTCAGAAAACGTATTCAAAGCAGCATGTACTGCTACATTAGGAACTACAGTATACTGGACAACACAGCAATACATTTTACTTATTTAAAAAGTTTCTCTATGCAATGAAGTGTCCTGGAGAGCATTTTTGAAGCCTAGAACATCTGTGCAGAAAGCAAGATGATACTTAAGGTCCAAGGACCTTTCTGCCATACAGCTTCAGAAATCTAGTGATGATGCTGTGGGCCAAATTGTACTATCTTTGTACAAGGAAAACTCCCCTGGACTTCAGTGGGAGCTTGTCCTGCTTAAAGATTACAAAGAGTGAGCTCTAAATGTTGTGGTGAAACCTTTTTTCCAGACCATCAGAGAAGATGCAGAGTAAAAGCAACATCCGATAAAATGCAACTTTTGCAAATCAACAACTTGTTTTTCCTTTCTTCATTAAGGCGAACACACGCAAGAAACCAATTCACCTCATTCACTGAAGAAGGATGTAGAAAACATGGGGAAAGGTAAAAAAAAAAATAGCTTTGATCGTATAAACCTGCTCTTTGTTTTAATAGAATATAAGGATAATAGGGGGCATTTTTGTTCTGCACCATATTTTAAGCTTGACAAGTAACATATGAATAATATATGGACCTTTGGGTGGATATAATTGAGATTAATGCATATATATCAATCAATACATGACACTGTAATATAATACTTTAAAATAATATATTACATTGATTTATATTCATGGATTTCTGCATAAAATCTATTCTAGGTCTATGCAACACTTTTTTTTTTTAACTGCTAAAATATTTTGTCTTATAGTAATGAATTGCCCCATATAATAGTTCTCTCAAGAATTATTTATACAGTTTAGCAGAACTGCTCTTCTTTTCTCTTTATTAGAAGAACTCCAGAAGGTTTTGTTTGAGCAAATAGACTTACGGAGGAGATTAGAACAGGAATTCCAGGTGTTGAAAGGAAACGCTTCTTTCCCAGTATTCAGTAAGACATGTTTCTGTATTTTCATTGTTGCTTGCAAAATGTCACTGTCTTTTATTGTGAGCTTATAACATGATGGGTGAATCACGTTTATGAGTGTTTGTGATCCTGGAGCGCTGGGCTTGGCCATTCTGAAGAAATCACTGAGATTTCTACCATTTGCTTTCAGGGCCTGCAGAGGCAGGACATTGAGGTGTACACTTGACTCTGGATTTTATATAGTATTACTATTATATAGTATTTAAAAAGACAGTCTCAAACACCGTTTGCAACTCTCTCCCTACCTGTTGAAAACACAGGGCATCCACGGTTAGGATGTGAGCACTGGGCTCCAGCCTGTCCCACCAGTGTATTGTGATCCAAAAGTCAGCATAAGCAACCACACATCATTGTAGGTGGATTTATGCCATAGATACTCAGGCTGAGAAGGTTTTGGGAGATGTGATTAAGGGTTCCTTCTTTGCCCAGCTTTGGTGTCAGTCCTTTGGAAACCTTTGCAGCCAGTTTGACTTGGAACAACCTGAAGGTCACTCTAAATGATACTGGCAGGGGCCGGTCTACTATACGTATAGGAGCGCTATGGTCATGTCTGCACTTTCCCTGGGGAGGTGGACTCTGTTCTTTGACTGTTGATGATACCTTGGGCCAGGAAGAAATGATGGAATATGCCATGTCAATGAAAGATGGTGAGGAACTCGATGAGACTGTTAGCATGTGGAATGGCCTCCTGCAGGGCGTGGTGACACACTCACTGCCTTTCAAACCAGCGTTGGAAAACACTTGCAAGGAGCAACCTGGCCAGGGATGATGCCAGAGATACAATGTGGCCGGTGGATTTGTCATGCATGTGATTCAATAAAGCTAGAAGGACCAAGCTGCTGCTGACAGTGCTGCACAATGCAGTGCTCAACACCGCAGCGCTGCTCCTCCCACGTGCAGCCTATTGTGTGGCAGAGACATTATGGTCGGGCGGCTCTCTGAGCAGGCAGCCGGCCGTGGCCATGTGCGTCTCTGAGGAATGACAGGTCCGGGATGCAGTGTGGCCTCTACAGGAAAAAAAAAACAGAATGACTCATACCCTTACCTGCTCCTTCATGATGTCAGGAGGTGGCCTTCAAGCTGGGTTGGGATTTTGCTGTTTTTAAAAGGCTGTTTCTGTTTGGGGTTTTTTTTTTAATTTGATACCAGGTCATCTGTAGTCTCCTTTTGCCCTTGGTCTGTATAGAGAGAGAATCATTGGGCTTTTGACTGCACAACAGGCTGGAAGCTAAAACCAGAAACCTTTCCCCATCCAGTTGTCAGACTGTTTAAAACACGTCGGCCTTCTGTTACCTCTTACCTGATGGAAAGCACTGACAGCCCCTTGGGCAAACTGCTTTTTGGTGCCCACGATTCAGACCTTCAAACTTCAGCAGTTCGGTGTCATTCCAGCAAGGGCAAGACTTGTTTTACGTGCTACTCCCGAGGTTAAATAAAGGAGAAAAAAATGTTGTGGCACTTTGTACCTTAATTGAAGTGAGGGGGAAGAAGCCCAAACAGTATATTCATGCTCATAAAGATCAATTGTAGCTTTCCCCCTTAAAGACAGGAAGAATTTGAGAAAGCTAAGAAAAGCCAAGGCAGATCTTCAAGTACAATTCCATCTATAGGCCAACTACAAATACATTTGGACATCATAAATGAAGGGGAAAATAAAAGCCCAAGGTTATGTGGAATATTTATGAGAGAAGAGTAACCCAATATTCAGTATAAATTCAGTGACTGCTTGGGTTTAGGAGCCAGGTCATCATAAAATAAATGTTGGGAGCTACACAAATGATATGCACGGTATCATAAAAAGGGCATCTTGGAGTCTTGCCATTTGGGTCACTCATTTATCGTTTTGTTCTAAAGTAAAATTAATGCCCCATCATTGCCATGTAAATAAACACTGCAATTAAACCACATGAAATCCAATTCAAATGAAAGAAAAGAATGCGTGCTGCTGACCAAGGAAGTGGCAAACACATACATCAGCTTGAAAAATAGGTGGTTTTAATGTACCACAAAGTAGTGGTCAATTTTACTCTAGGTTAAAATAGAAAAACAACTAGTGTGCGATAAACAACAAATGCAGCTGACCGTAAAACCCATTTGCAGATTTAGATTTACCAAAAAACTATACCATATATAGCCAGGATGAGAAACCGAGCGTTTATAAACCAAACAGGTGGAACACAGGCTAAATGTCGTCCCTCTTCCGCCAAGAGAAAAAAGCACTGCTATCCGCAGAAGGAGCTGCTTCTTTAAGTCAGCGTCCAGAAACCTGCAAGTCTGGGCTTCACTCCTTGTTGAGATCTTGTAATGGAGTTGTCCCATTAAGGGCCAGAAAGATAAATATCCCAGGATCTTCTTAAAAAGAAGTTAAAATGGCTTGGAGTCGAAGGTACCAAAAATGAGTTATACAAGGAAAATAGATTGAATTCGTCTATTAAACTGGATGGATGACATTGAGGCAGCCTGAAAGAAAGAGGCTGGAGGTAGAAAACCGTCCTGACTCATGGCGTGACCTGGAGAAATTCAACCAAAGATAGAACGGGTCTTGGAAGCTGACCTCCCCAGGCCTGGCCAGGGTGGAGGCACTGTTGGAGTAGTTCTGGGCTGTCTTGCCCTTCTCCTTGCAGTGTTGGTGCTGCCTCTTCTGTCCATCACCTGTGAATAAGTAGGAGCCCTTGTTTCCAACCGGATTGCTCAGCACCTCCACAATCAGAGGGATTAAAAACAGAGGAAAGGATTCACCTCCCTCCTTAGCAGTAAACCAACACTTGTCCCTGCAATGCAAACCTGCCTCTAGGAAATGCTGCTAGCAAACCTGCTAGAGTTAGCTCCCAGAGCTTAGTCTGTCAGGCCCTCAGGGCAAGACCCGTGTCCTGCATGTCTACACAGCACTGAGCACATTGTGAACACTAAATGAGTAGCCTAGCTGCTGCTACATGCAGCAGTCCCACAATGTCCTGTGTTTCTCCCTTTTTTAAAACGTCTTTTGGATCACATACTCAGCTGCTATAAATGAAAAATGTTTAACAAGAACTGTCCGTATTTGCAAGCTCTTTTAACGGCGCGATGATGATTGCTTCTTTGGGGCCATACCGCCTGATGTTTTGGCTCAGGATGGTGAATAACAACAACAGCAACAATAATGATGATGATGAAGATGATTATAATAGTCCTGAGTCTCTATTCCTTGCACTGTTTTATTATCTGTGTATTGCTGTAGCACCCATGGCCTCCAGACATAATGTCAGCCTGTGTGAGGAACCTATCCACAGGAAATGCATGTCCACTCGATAATAGTATTTTGCTCCCTCTTTGTAAGCATATCAGAAACAAGAGAGACATCTTTGCAGGAATTGCAAAAGTGTCTCATGTTTGTTTGCTGCTCTTTCTTGCTGGAACAGATTAGAATTTTGCAAATGCCAACTTAAAATCGGAGAAATTAGAGTTGAAGCACAACTATGTGGTCATCTCATCCATTTTCTGTGGTAGTGCGGGATTGTTTTTTACAGTGTATCCCCCAGGCCTTTGGTCTCATCTGGTTCAATTCCCAGTGACTTGGTGTAATGGAGTTCTAGTTACTTCCCTAGGAGAGACTGCTCCACATTGCAACAAACTTCACTCTCGGGGCATTTTTTCTGATGTTCAGATCAAATTCTCCTAAGTTTAATTTTAAATGTCATATTATCACTCATCTATATACTTCCTCAAGTCATTTTGTAGTTCCTCTGCCCCCTTGCTGTTCCTCCTCATCAGATGTTCATAGACTGTCATCTGTCCATGCATTTTAGACACTGACATGATCTTCATTGTTGTAGTATCTGAGCAAACACCCTGTGAGACAGAACAGTCCAAGAGAGGTGGTCAGATAAGACACAAAAAGACTAAGAGCCTGGTCTGAAGGTGTATTTGAGACAGAGTTTAAGGACACCTATACACATGCAGTGAGGCTGCTCCAATGTGCTGTAATTACAACACGTCAGAGCAGATTCAGTTAATCGAGTCTGCTGGAGCACGGTAATTACCACACTCTGAAAAATTCCCCACGTTGAAAAATGATGGCGGGGGCACTTTAACTAAAGCTCGTTTGACAAGTTTTAGTTAAAGTGCTTCCGCTGCCATTTTTCAGTGCAGGGATGCTGATACATGTGACGCTGTGGGCACTTTAATTAGAGCAGTTGTTAGAGCCACTTTAATTAAAGCTCCCCCCACACCTCCCAGAGCATATGTATAAACAACCCAAGTGCCCAAGTCCAAGTGGGCGATCCACAAAGTCCCTAACTATTGCTTATGTACTTGACAGGCCACAGGCACTTAAGTTTTGATGAAAACGTACTTAGACACCTAACTCTCAGCATGATGAGAAGAGCTGCCGTCTTGGCTGAGACTAAAACTTAGGTGCTCAAGCCCTGCTTAAGGTCATCTGGGATTTACTGGGTCGGCAGCACTCCACCAAAATCCCCTGAGAAGTCTGAGTAGGCAGGTTTGCCGGGCACACGGCCAGCACGTGCTGACAGCATTGAGTGCAGTGCTCACAATCGCTTTCATTGGAAACTAGTGGTGATGTAACTTTTTCACATTATAGCCTAGTGACTAGAGCCAAGATGGCAGTATTTCTGTAAGGCACCTACGTGTGTTTTCAGTTCAGTCAGTGGGCATACACTGGTATAAATAAGAGCCAATTTTTTGCTCCTATAGGGCGCGTCTACATGTTCATTAACACGCTTTAGTTAAGGCACATTAAATCTAGTACCTCCATTGTGAGGGACTAGGAAAATGTGCGTTAGTCTGTCTTAATGTGCATTAACTAAAGAGCATAGTTTTTAAGTGACACAATGCGCATTAGCCTATTTTTGTGCACATTAGCTACAAAGCACAGGTTTTTAGTGACGCTTTAATGCATATTACAATAGGCTAATGCGCATTAAAGCACACATGTAGACGTGCCCATAGAGATTTTGTTCTTCTCACTCTGGTCCAATGAAGTTTTGCCTGAACAACAACTACAGTCTCTGGCCCACTGAGAGAACCACACAGGATGTCTGATAAATGTTTGACTTCCAAATGTAGCTGCCTAAATTTGAAAACCCAATCGTGTATAAAATACCTGCACCTGATCTATCCTAAACTTTTTTTTCTGTGGTCCACAGTGTTCAATCCCAGACAGGCAGCTTTCAGCAAGAGGACCCTCGGTGGGAGAGAGTGTTGCGAATAAATTATTACAGTGTTCCTCAAACTCTTTAGTGGCACTTTTACTACTAACTTCGGTTGTGCAGGTTGATATCTTAATTAATGCACCTGTATTTTTCCCTTCAATCCGCACAGATAATTTTCAAGATCAGATGAAACGGGAGCTGGCGTACAGAGAAGAAATGGTACAACAGTTACAAATTGTAAGTTGTTCTCCTCCACTAAAACCAGTAAAGAACTATCCTTTTATTCTACTTCTCTCCATTGATAAATTTTTCCACTTTTGTTTCTGAAGCTGTGCAGGTGTACAATTACTGAGCCTGTACATAGCAAGATTTGAGAGTGCAGTTTTCTCAGCTGGTTTAAAGTCTAATTACCAGGAGATTTACTTGCATACAGTAATCAGATGTGTCTTCACGTTTCTATTAAATGGAAGTACTTTCCATGTGTTGACTCCACGAAGAGATGTACACCTCCGATGAGAGGCAGGCAAGCTTGCCTGTCCAGTGACCATTAAAGAGTTAAATATCTTCCGCAGTTTGCTAAAGATGCATCCCCCAGCATTAGTGCCTAACGGATGAAATTCACACCTTTACCAAAAGGTCACTGCATAGCCCAGATCTAATAGGTGTTTACACCCTTTAGTGGCTCTCTGCATAGTCGTTCTGAAAAAAAGTTGATTTACACAACAAAAAGGTTCAGATTTACAAAGCACAGCAAATATTTGTACCTACAGACGCTACATTTCTCATGTGTACATGTAACATGAAAAAGGACTTTGCATGCGTGCGCGCGCACACATGCACACACACACACAGGTGATTGTACATACAGCGGGTTCTACTTCCTCATGCTCTTGAGGCCATGCGGCTTCTTCCATTTAATAGATTTCATAGATCTTTAGGGTTGGAAAGTACCTCAGTAGATCATGGAGTGCAACGCCCTGCCTTGGGCAGGAAAGAGCACCGGGGTCAGATGACCTCAGCCAGGTGTCAACATCTAATGTTAGACAGGAGCAACGGTCTCAAGTTGCAGGAAGGGAAGTTTAGGTTAGATATGAGGAAAAACTTTCTCACCAGGGTGGTACTAAAGCATTGGAACAGGTTACCCGGAGAGGTGGTGCAATCTCCATCCTTGGAGGTTCTGAAGACCCAGTTGGACAAAGCCTTGGCTGGGATGATCTAGTTGGGGCTGGTCCTGCCTTGAGCAGGGGGTTGGACTAGATGTGACCACCTGTGGTCCTTTCCAACCCTCATTTCCTATGATTCTATGAAGAATGCATGTCCAGTGTCGTGAGTGGTTTAGTAGCAGAAGGATCATGTCTCCAGCCAGGCAAATGCTTAGATAAGGGCTTTTAACTGTCAGCATCTAATTAGCCTCATCCACTTCACCAGGCTTTCTTCTGTGAGTAAAATCTAAGAGTGTGGGTAAGAGTTTTGCAGGACTGGAGCCCATACAGCCTGAATGCTATGACATATTGTGTTCACTGCACGGATATGGTTTCACCCTCTCCTAACCAGAGAATGAATGGATTTCCTCTCTAATGCATCAGGCTGCAGATCTGAGCTAATATTTTAAACCAAATCTCCCAGATCTCCATTCTAGGGATAGTTTCTCTTATTTACTGGGAACAGGAAAAGATCGCAGGGTTCAGGGAGTTGCTTTTTTATAGAAAAAGAGGGCTGGAAGACAACTCAGGAGTCAAGTGTTTGCATAAACTGCTCTTAATATTTTACAGCCTTGCTAGGTAATCTGTTCCAGTACTTAACCATCCTCAGCATTAGAAAGCTCTTTCTACTATCCTGTCTAAATTTCTCTTGTTGCAATTTAAAACGGCTACTTTTCGTCTTGTCACCTATGGTCATAGTGAACAGACTATCACCATCCTCTTTATAACCACCCTTATGAACAAGAATAAAAATACATTGTCTTCACTTTGGCAGACAGGGTTCTTTGGGTAAATCCGATATCTTTTATGAGACCAACTGAAATAGTTGGAAAAATTCTTTACAAGCTTCCAGGTATGAACACCCTTCTTCAGGCAGAGACAGCATCTCCTTGTTTTCACTTTGGGATGCATGTTAGAAAAATACTAGGAAAAGTTCACAGGGTCCTCATTAAGATCAAAAGATCAGGGCAGTGGTTTTCAAACTGTGCTCTGTGGGGTTGTGGGATATGTCACTGGGGTTCTGCCAAGAGACGGGTGATGGCAGAGCGGGTTGGGAGTCGCATTGTGGGGCTCCACTTCAGTCTCTTGGAAAAGGGTACGGGGTCCGTGGTACAAAAGCGTTCTGTGACTTTAGGAAGTGTGAAAACCACTGGATCAGGGTAATCAAATCATTAAACAATATTATACAAATGTTTTTACAATGACCAGCTTCAACCTTTGTTTCAAAGAACTGCAGCAGCAGCAGCTGTGTCAGCTCTCTCTTTTCTGTGACCCCCTTACATTTTATTATTTTTAATGGAAGTTTTGTCATAACCTCAAGAAGATAAGGTATCTCGGGCCCAAGCTGGCTTAATCTGAGTAGTTCTACTGGCATCAGTGAGGCTTCACAAATACAACTAAGGACAGAAAAATAGTACCTCTTAAAGTATTAGCCACACATATTACAGCCAAGTGCTACTGAACATATTTAAATTCAGTGCAAAGAACTTCTTAAATGTTTTGGTTGAAATTTAAACACAAAGTCAGAACTTGGGATGTTACTGTTCCCATAGCAACTCCAGTGTTTTACATAGAACGGTTATGTTTGCTATTATGCTTCCTTGGCCGAATATATTTATAACATGATAATTCCTTATCTTCAGTGCAGTTATACTAAGGATGACTATGGCCCATTGGCTTTATATATATATATAAAAAATATGTATGTATTTTATGTGTATATATATATATATACACACATAAAATAATTGTGAACATAACCCCAATTATATATATATATTGGGGTTATGTTCACAATTCTTTTTTGAATATTCTTTTTTCATCTAATTATAGCATCTCATAGGGTAGTTACTGAGTTTCCCTTTTTATGTTAATATATGAAGAGGAGATTATAAAAGAAAAATATATATTGCATATTAGAACAAACACAAGTCAAATCCTGATTTCTTTTGCACTAATAACTAACTGGAGTCGTTTGCTAACTTTATTCAGGGGATAGTCCAAATTTATACTGGTGTGATTGATTGCAGAATTTGTTTGCTATATTACAGTTAATATATGAGTAACATATAATATGAGTGTATATATATGCTCTATATAGGGTATGGCATATTAATAGAAAACTTGTTGAGCACAAGTATGTTACTCATATTAAATGTAATATCCTATATATATAGGATCTGTAATCTAAATACATCCTATGCACATGGCTATTTCAATCCTATATATATAGGATCTGTAATCTAAATACATCCTATGCACGTGCTTATTTAAGCGGGCAGAATTGTGGATAACATATCTCTGCATCACAACCGCCTGTAATATAGCATGCACGCACTGTAGGCTGGTCAGACGTTTAGAACCTGACTCAGTCTAAATCCAGATTTCTCAGAAACATTAATTGCTGACTAAGCAATTGTGCAAATTTTAGCAAACCATTGCAAAGTACAAATGCAAAAGCAAAAAAAGCATCTGGCAGACAAAAATCTGTAAAGTTTGAGAAAATTTACCTAAAGTATAGTTTTTTAAAAACTTGTTAGCATATGAAAATTGGACTTGCCTTCTTTACAGATATTTCTCTCAGCGTTATACTATAAACAGTGATTGTTAATATAGGAATAATATTTTTAACTATTGACTCAAAGGCAGCTAAGGTTGAGCACACTTTTTTATTGCAGTTCTTGAATGACATTGTGAAACTGCAATGCAGAACACATGACAAATTGCTAAGCCAGCATCCACATTTGAAGTAGGGAGTTTGCTGGGGAGTGACAGGTGTCCTGAAGCCCAGCCATGGATCAGTCTAGAAGTGCCCTCTGCTGTTTCGCCATGGTTACTGCAGCCAGGACAGAACAGGTTGAAAGTTCTTCATTTAAGGCTTTAGTTAAAATAACGTTGAGTCAATGCGTTTTATGTCAATGCCACCGCAGACTCGTGAAGATTAGTTTATGATTTCCTGCCTGGCAGGGGCAGAGCTTCTAATCATGAAAGAACCTATAGGACAAATCTTGACCCGGTTGTACCTCTTGTAATGGGTATTGACTTTCATAGGCATAACTGACTGCAGAACGCAATTCTGGCGGGGGGTAGATCCTGCGTGGGCTGCAGCCGGCCTTGTTAAAAAGAGCTGATCAGTCGCAGGCTCCTTTAAGTCTGCAGCAGCTAATTGGAAATGTTCCAATACATTTGCTTCTCCTGTGGAGGTGAAATGGGGAGAATACGGGTTTGAGAGCATTCCTCTCCCCTTGGAAAACTCCAAAGTTTCAGTAGTTTTGTCTGGAAGTGGAATCTTATTTCAATCCCATCTGCTTTGGCTTCAGTCATTTGATTATCAAACTATACAGCTGTGGGCTCCAAGAACTGGGGACATTCAGACATGGGACAGGGATGGGCAACCTGAGAGCAGTGGTCTGGCTGAGACCTAAGGCTGGTTCTCTTTTTCTTTTGCATTATTAACAATACTAATGGTAGCACAGGCAAATTCTACACTTGGAGACACTGTGCAGTCCTATCGCATTAAAATCCTGTCTCCTGTGGAGTTATGCAAGTGTGAACAAGGGCACTTGGTCCTTTAATTTGGCCTCACCATTGAGATGTGTCAGCAGCACTGAGGCACGAGCTCAAATAGATTCCAACTCGCACCTTTGCAATAACACTGCCTTGTGCGGCTGAACCTGGGCTCCGAATTTGGACTCTGAATACACAGAAAGCTGATTGTGTTGAATAAGCAAGTGATATTTTCCTCCAATCCATTTACCTTTTGACTGAGAGAAATTAAGCTTGTACCTGTCAGGGTCCCTGGATGTACTTTAGGTTAATGAGATGGAACCTGGTAAATTCCAATTTAAAAATGAACTGATGTCATTCTGGAATTATTGTTTGGAAAAAAGCCTAGAAAAAGTGTGTGTGTGTGTGTGTGTGTGTGTGTGTGTGTGTGTGTGTGTAATATTAATTACACCTGTTGAGTGTGTATGTATATTAAATAGGTAAAGCCAACAAGTTCTCTTTCATTTTGTGGTAGGGCAATTTCCACTC